GTGTGGCGTTAACCGCCGGTGTGCTTCGCTCCTCCTCCGGTTAACCCGAAACAAACGGCCCTGCGGAGGGACCTATAAAGCGGTGTAGGGGGTTAAATCGGTGCCAGTGATTTTACATGGCAGTTCTGCCTCTTACTCCCCTTTCAGTAGTGCTTGCAGTCTTTACTGCCCCGTAGTGCCGTGAAGAACTTGAACTGTAGTTTTATAGTGGCATCTGCTGAGAAGAAATCTTCACCTCCATGGGTTTGAGTTTCTTGATTTTGGTTTTGTTTTTTTTTTTTGGTAGCTTTTCTCTTTGTTTGGGGTTTGTTTGTTTTTTCCCCAAGCTGTTTCTGAACTCTTGTCAATGCATACACTAAACAGAACACTGGGTGTTCTTGAATTAAAACTTTGCAAGCAGGCATATGAGATCAGTAAAGACAAACTCTCTGTCTCCTTGTACTGCTTTCCTGAGTGGCTGTGGATGCATTAGTTCATCAGATGGGTATTTTTTTGATCTCTATACCATAAGCAAAAGGGTAGTGCTTGGCTTAGAGCATGTCTATGTATTCAATTCCAAAATCAGTTTATTTCTCACAAGAATCTTCTGTTTGCCACTGGCACGTAAATCTAGGTAGTGTGTCCTGCAGATGCTCCCCAGGCGTGCTGGGGTGGCCAAAACAGCTGAAGTATCTAGTCTGGCACCTTTTTATGTCTTTTGTCAGAAACTGTAACCTCTAGTAGGTGGAAATGGGATTGGAGAACCCAGATGTACTGAATGATTTTAGTTCTTCTAAAGATGTGGTACTCACTATGTGGAAGTTAATTACAAGCAAAGATAAAGGGGTGATGCTGGTGGGTGGATGAGGAAGGGTGACACCTCAGGCCTTGTGATGTGGGTTTGTTGACTGTATCTCTTAGTTACAGGATATTCTAGCTGAGGTTGTGTTTTTTACCTCTTAAAGGAGAATCTACTGATCAGCTGCAAAAGCACATTCCTGGCAGGGGGATATTTCTAAAAATAAAAAAAAACCAAACTTGGTTTCTAGGAATATGAGCACTATTGTAATAACTCCTCAGTGTTTTACAGGATACACTATGCAGAAAACTTCACTCTATGCAAATACTCTGCGTGAAATTAAAATAACAATGGAAATTAAGTCTCGTTTGTAGTAATTTGTAGCGTGCTTTTGAAATACCAGTTGCTTTCCTCTTATTTATTCATTTTATTTATTCCTTTTTATTGTAGCCACTGATGCAGTTTAAAATGGAAGGGGGGAAAAAAAGATTGCAGAAGATAGAGGAAGGGAGTGTGTGTGAAAGAGATGAGATTGATATTGAGATTCATTTTCTTGGCACTGCCCTTGTAAATCTCTTTTGCATAGAGTTAAGGAAATGAGCTTATTACTTCAGATAAGATTAGCTTCCAATATAGTGTAATAATCAGCTTCTGTTGCCTCACAAGGAGAGATTTTGACTGCTGAACTGGAAATAGTGCCTGAGTTAAAAAGAAATGTCTCCATCTGTGAGCAGCTGTCCTGGAGAAGCACCAGTCACTCAGCCAAAGCACTGCCCAGGCCCAGCTGGGTTTCATCCCTCACAGCCTGGGCAGGTGCAGAAGTTGGGTCTTCTCTGCCAAGTGCAGTTGGCCTCTGTTTTTAACTTACCGATGCTCAGCTTATGTTTTATTGTTCCAGGTGTTATCTCCAGTGTGATTCTGCAACTTGAGGCTTATAGACCTTCCTAATTAAAAAAGTGTGTCTAATACAAAGGACAGTTTTCAAAAATAATACGCTGAATTTATTGTTCTAGGACACTGAATTTCAACTGACCACAAGTAAGGAGTGACATTGTACTATAACATTGTGAAAGGTTCCAGCTGGGGCATAAGAGCCTGAAACTTGGGAGCTTACATCTGAACCACACAAAACTTCCCAAGTGGGATGTGTCTTAGTGCAAATTCTCACTTGCACATGTGTTAGCAAGGTCTCTTTTCTCCATGCAGTACACATACAGTCTCAGAGGCTGAAGGTTTTTGTTCCCTTTATGGATCCCTGTGAACATCTGAATGTCAGGTGAAGGTCACATTAATTACCGAGGCAAAATTTTCTTACTGCAGATTAGTGGAACAACAAATGTGTAAATCATTTGTCTCCATTCAGAACGTAATTTTGAAAATAACTTGTGGTGCTTAACAAATGAAGGGCACAAATTCTGTGTGCAAAGCCCTTGTAGAACCCCCTTTCTTTTTCCCCATCACTTTTCTGTGATACAGTAGTGTAAAGTGTGCAGAAATGATGACTGTCTCATTAGAAGTATCTTTTTCCTCCCTTTGAAAAAGGTCAGATTTTAAGTCAGGTGTGATCAGTGTTAATTAAACTGTTGCTATCCTAAAAAAAAGAATCTGTGATTTGAACAAAGAACTTAAGATTATGCATTTCTACTGGAGAGACTTTGACTTGTTAAAAATATATATATATATTTATTTATTTATTTATTTTTGTAAGGGTGATATACTCCTTTTGTAGTTCTGGTTTGAGTTTCAGTTATCAGAGACATCATGGTGCTAGGTTTAATTCCTTGGAAACCTGGGCTTCCAGGCAGATTCTCTGTTGAATTCCCATTGTTTTTGCTCTACCAAAATTGTAGTTTTTCTTTTGAGGCTTGACAAGACTAGAACTTTTCATGACTAGCTCCCTGAAATGTCCCTAGGGAATTGGGAGGCTTCGCTTCTGTTCCTGAATAAGTCACTGCACAGCACATCTCTTATTTCCCCATCTCTGTCAGTACAGTAAGAAGCTGTACTTGCAAGTTGTTTCATAGAGCTTTCATTTAAAAAAAAAAACCCAACAAAACCCCACAGTTCCAGGTGCAGGTATGAATGTATCAAATAGATGTAGTGAAGGGTGAATGGCCAAGAGAAATTGCCAGAGAAATCAAAATAAATCAAAAAGGACAGATTCACAAGATCTAAAGTATTATTTGATGTCAGGTGAGCTGTTCTGCAGCATGTTATATACACTAAATTCAACTCGTTTTTATTACTTACATTAAATCTGTAGAATCTTGTTTTGCTTATGATATGTTGTAGATAATTCACCAGTGTCCTTCTTTTGAACTAGAAGGGACCAGGGAGAAACTGTTATTTATACATTACTGATGGAGTGTTGTTCCTATTTATTTGTGTTTTGACAACCAAACCCAGCTGAAGTTTGTGGTGTCAGAACAGATTTGCTGGAAGTACGCGTATACTGCGGCAGTGCTTGTGTGCTGCCCTCCTCTTGGCTTGTGCAGTGACTTTTTCCATCTGTTCTTCATCCTGTGAAAACTGAGGGGACACTTGCTGTGTGCGAGCTGCTTATCACATTAGGACCAAAATTAAAGCTGGCAGTCATGTGAGTGGGGTAGATTAGGGTCTGCTTAACGACAGCGTTAAACTACTGAACTCTAAAGGTCTGTCTGCACTGGAGTGAGTTAAGAATGTGTGTCAGTTAGAAGGATATTGTGTTAAAAAAATCTTATTTGAAAATTAATCCAGTGTTATGTTTGTCATCTTATTTCTTTTTCACTTAAAAGGAGAATAAAAACTTAAATATAACTTTGGCAGAAGAAGATGCATTACAGAGCAAAGAGATTGAAGTGGCCACGTGGTGTGGAGACTGGTTTTTGTGGGGTGGGAGATAGAGGAGAATTTTGTAAAGAGAATAGAAAAGCTGTTCCAGGAGACTTTCAAAAGATGACTGAGTATTGGAGAAATCAGAGGAACAACCTGAAGCTTTTCATGTGAAGGCATAAGATGTCACAGGAAAGGGGTGCAGTGTCCTGGAGAGAATGAGGGGGTGAGGTGTCTGGGGAGTGCCAGGAAATGGATAGGAAAGAAGATGAAGTGCTGTTAAGTCTTAAGTAAACATCCCTGGGAAGTGACTGTCAATAAAGTGGCTTTCAGCAGAATAGCAAAGAGGAAAATTAGACTGGATTGAGGGAGGAAAAATTGAGTTTGTTTTTTGTATGAAGTAATTTGTAGCATTGGACCACAGGCAACAGCAATGATCATGTGTGGTGCTTATGACCAAGTCAGATTTTGTTCCTCTTTTGACCTCAGTTTGAAATATTTAGTTCTTGTGCAAGCTGGAGAATGCAACTAATTAGTGAAGTTGCTCTGCATTATTACTTACTTAATGTTTTACCTGCAAGTCAAGTTTGGGATTACTGCTGGGATTCTGTAGGTTTTTGGAAACAGAGGCTGAGTGTTCAGAAAGAAGAGAGAAGAGGGGAAAAACTAAAAGCCAGTAAGAATCTTTCTTTCCAAGCAGAAAAAGGGGATGTGAGAACATGATTTGTGGAGGGGAAAGAAAGGGAAGGCAAAGATGCAATAGTAGGTGACTGAAGTAAAGGAGATGGAGCTGAATTTAGAGGATGGTGTAGATTTTTGACCATGTGAGTGAAGGAGGATGAAAAGTAAAATGAGAACAGCCAGCAAAATAAAATTGAGGGGTGAGGGGGGAAATCTAGTAGGACATGATGAGTTCAGTGAGTAGTACTGTGCTAAGCTTGGAAGGTGAAAGTGAAAAAAAGGAGAGGAAGAAAAAAAAACCTTTTAATATCAGGGGTTGGAGGTAGAAGTAATGATAAACAAAATATAGGTCAGTTGTATAGTTCCTGGCAGATAGTACACACAGGCTGGAGTGAAAGATGGAATATTTCTGGAAAAGATGAGGAAAGAGGAAAAAGCAATAGGGACACCCAAGAATAGAAGAGCAATGAAGGCAGCTGAGAAGACAAAAGAACTAAACCACCCAACCAACCTGTGAGATGGGGGGGGAAAGTGAAAGAAGTGAGAGCTTATGAGGAATAGGAGATTGTCCAGTTGGGTCCTATTAAAATAAAGAATTTGAATAAAGAACCATGTGGAATGATTTAAGAAACCTGAGTTTTAAAATTTCAGAGCCATTTTACATAGCTTGGACTAAAACCTGACGAGTTTCTCTGTGAAATATCTGTTTTTCAGTGATCCTTTTGCTGCACACCATGAATACATGCGGCAGGTGATGAGAAGCTTTTCTGATCCTTTTGGCCGAGATCCATTTCTCAGCATAACAGATGGTGGGGAGAGAACAGCAGATCGACGAGCGCACCAGGACTCTCAGGTTGCTCTGAGAGGAAACCGCAGAGTAAGTATTTTCTTAATCTCCAAGGATTGCTACATGGAATTAACATTTACTGGTAATATAGTTGGCTTCACATTTCCATTCCTGTGAAATTTGGTCCAGTGGAAACAGAGACCTTGGTCAGATTGTTTCATCACAGAGTAAAATGTGAATAATATCTTTCTTGGTTCATCAGTTGTTTAAGCATTTATAACTTTTTGCTAACAAACTTGTTTATTGTAGGACTGATAACAAATTCGTATGTTATTGTACATCGAATAGACAAAATACAATGAAACAAACTAAACATATTTATCAAATATTTGGTTTAATAAATATTATGTATTACATGTTTCTGTTACAGAAAAGCATTAAAAATGCCCAACAACAGAGCCTTCTTTGAGCACTTTCTTCCTTTTTATGCTAACCTTACTTAAAAAGGTACCTTGATATTTTTATGCCTTCACTCTGCACTTTAGTGTCTTCTGTTAGTTTGATTTAACACAAACTGGTGTTTCAGACACCTAAATAGTATTTACACAGATATTTTAAACCCTACTGCAGCTTTGCAACTGTGAATAAAGACTTTGCATCCTGTCTTTGGTCTGATTCTTAAGGTTTCCTCTAGATACAAGACTGTAAGAATTAAAGATGAAGGAAATTGATAGGAAAACTAGTATTTCTGTAAATTACCACCTGAAACTGAAGTTGGTAATGATCCATGTTGTACATAAGTATCTTTTAAATTCATTTGGGTATGCAGGACAATTATAGGGTATGGTTCTGTAGCTAAATCTTATCTAATTACTGCATTTAGCAAGGATATATGTTTGAAGTTGGTTTCTTTCCCTCCACCAGGCTAAATATTTTGCAGCTGAATGAGCTCCTTTTTTTTTTTTTTTTTTAATGAATCACATTTGATTTTAAAAAACAGTTGGAAGACAGAACAGATTACAAGGGCTTGTGGAACCCAGCCAGATTTAGTGGTGGTTGTTCAAACCTAGATAGTTAGAGCTTAATAAACATAGCTGAAACACGGACTGTCACCTACAAGTCAAAAGGGTAACTGTCAGATTCTTTCCTCCGTGCTCATCCATTGCCAGTTAGTTTCAAATATAGACGTTGCTGTAGCTAATTAGGGCGTGATATTTGCTCTGCTGAAGCATATTCTTAGGCCTTGGTTCAGTAGGTGCATAAAACCAGATCAGACTTCTTTTTCCTTTAGAAAAAGATTGTTAAACTTTACCCTAATATCTTGGGGGTTTGTATTCCTTGTTCTTGGCAGTGAGGGATGCATGTGAGGCAGAGGAAACCTTTATCTGCGCTTACAGAAAGGAGTTAAAGGTTCAAAAGAACTGTGTTATTTTGATGAGCACAAAAGAAGCCCACACCTGCTAAAATCTCTCCAGTATCTTTTAATGTTCCTCATGTTGCACATAAGAGTTGTCAGGTGTCACAGAAGACTCAGCAGTGATTATTTGAGTTGTAGTTTCAAACTGCTTTTACTGGTTTCCCTCTAGAAATTATTCAAACACTTAAAATAATCAGATATTTATGTAGGAAAAGATGGATACCTTCTGTGTAAAATACACTTTGCTGAGATTACCCATCCTGATTACTGGTGTTGTAATTTTATTCAAACACTTAATCAGATTTTTAAGTAGGAAAAGATGGATACCTTACTGCCATGTAAAATACACTTTGCTAAGATTACCCATCCTGATTACTGGTGTTGTAATTCTGTGTTTAAGTAAACTACAGCGTGCCTAAAACTGCTTTACAAGGGATGGAGTTTGTTGCAACAACTCGATGTGCATCAGTATGGCGTTCAAATTTGAAAATGCTTTTCCTTTCTCAAATAGGTTTGCAGGAGGAGGAGGAAAGGGTATAAAATAAGAAAAGAATAGGGTAAAACATCTGAAGAGATACTGTAATTTGGATATTTTTTTTTTTTATATCTGATTGTCCTGTGTATTAGGCAACTATTTAACAGCTTTTAGTGTGTATCATAAAACAAACTTGCATGGCTAACAACTTGAGTATTTCTGAGGATATCCTTTTGCACTTGAGATATGTAGAAAAAATATATTTATTATTTTCTGTCACTACATAGTAGACAGAACTGCAGTCTGAAATTGTTCCTCAAGGTATTCAAGAATCTGGTAATTCTTTGCTTGTGTACTTCAAAGTGTTTGGTACTTCTCTCTAAGCAGTCTTTCTTTAGGTTAGGCTTTTATATAACCCTGCAGTTTGAGTTTCCTGGAAACATCAGTGTGTTTTCCAGCATCTCACTGCCCTTGCAATATAGAGATATTCAATATCACTTGGTCAAACAGGAACTGTGTTTGCCGGTGTTTATAGCTACATCTATTTATACAACTGCAGAAGAATATAATTTGCTCCTGGGGGATTTGTCTTTGGGTGATTCTGTATATGATGATAGATTTAACTAGAACTTCTTTGCAGTGACCTTTGAAACTGCTGACAAGTTAGACTTTATTTTGTTTATTGCAAGAAATGTACAGCTATTTCTGAGAAATCTTTTATACTTTAATCTCTTGTAATGCATAAAGAGTGCTTGTGAACAGGTCATGTGCATCACTTGGTTTTATTTGTTTATTTATTAAAGCTCTGAAATCGTTATGGCAGCCTTCTGAAATGTAACTACATAAATTTACACGAAGGGGACTATTGATTTGTTGATTTTAATCAACTTTCAGTGACGGAGTTGTGCTGCCTGAGTAGAACGAAGTGTTATCAGAGAAGTGGGTGATGTCTGAAGCACTGTGTTGTATTTTAAACAAGTTTTAGTACAAAGGTTGCTATGGTATACAAATGTTTCTCAACTTCTAGCTTCTGTTACATACATATGAATGTGACTTATTAAATGTGATGACAGCTATTGCTTCCCAATATAATTGGTAGAAATATGTTCCCTTTATATACCCAGAGACTGCTTCATATTATGTTGTCATAGCACACTACACTGGCCAGGGTCCTCTTGAGTGGCTCTTGATTTGATCAGAAATGTTTAACATCACCTGCTCTGTATGAAAGTGCACTAGGTACTTGTGCTGTGTCTGATGACAGGTACAAGGACTAAAAGACACTGATCCTTTTTCTTCCAGGCAACGAGCTGCTCTCTCATGCCCTTTGCAGGCTTTGGTAGAGTGGTTAGTATCCCAGGAGTAAGAGTCCTTGTAGTTTTTGCTAATATGTGCATACTGTCTGCATCACTAAAGCATGGACACAGGCTAGCTTCAGTGTGCTTGCAGACTGCTTTTGTTGGTGTTGTAATACATGGAACAATAAATTCAATAAGGATTTTTTAAATTATTAAATGAAAACACGGGGGTAGACTAAATATGCTGATAACAAGATTGGAAAAGTTACTGCTTAGCAGCTGGCTTTTCTACTCAATGATATGTCCATTGGTGTTTGATCTCTGGTGGATAGCAGTGAAATAATCCTTGGAGAGAGGCTCCAAACTTTGAGTGCTGCCTGTAGAAGGACACTGGTGGCTCAGAGTGTGTGTGTGGGTGTGATACACAGGTCACAGCTAAGACAGGCCAGCTTCTGGAGACAGAATTTCCACTGGAACTGGGCTTGTCATGTTTTTCAATTGTAATTTATTGGGGGTCTGGAATATCCTGTAAAAGATGTGTAAAAAGTGAGGAAAAGCAAGTTTATTGTTAGGACCCTTGTGGAGGATTTTGCTTCCTCTGGAAGGCTTTAAGGAGTCCTCAGACTGAAAACCAGTAGCTTGGAGAGTGGCTCTCACTTGCAGAGCAGGTAAAGATAAACACGGGTCTTTGAGTTTTCAGATCTAAAAGCATTACTTGTTTAATTATCTTTTGCAGAAGCACAAATTGGCAACTTGCTGTGTGCAAAATGTTTATTAGCTAATCAGTGTTCTTCTATTCACTGCACAGGCTATGCTTTTACTCCCCCCCCCCCAATTTCTGCCATGTAATTCCATAGGTGTAGCTGATCACTATGTCCTGTCATGGGTCAGTGTGCAGATCTCGAACTGTAGGAGGCAGTTTTCTGGAGTTACTTAACCTTGCAATGATTTGATGCCATAAATTGTCTATAATTACTGCCCAGAAGTTTTGATAACACTTAAGGATTCAGTCTTCTCGCTACTCCAGAAACAAACTGCAGATTTTCTATACCTGTTTGTGCTTAAACTGCAGATTATCTTCTTAAACTTTTAAATACACAGCTATTTAAGTGAGTTTATTTAAATATAATTTATATATTTCCAGTAGTTGGAGGACTGTGGGGTGTTTGCTATTGTAATTAGCATGCTGGTGTGTTGTAGTGCAAAGGCCTGCCTCTTGCCAAAGCTGCTGGGTTTTGCAGAGCCCCTGGGAGCTGTTTCCCCCACTCTTCTCATGGCCTCGTACCCGTAAAGCAGAGCATGGTGGTGTTTGCTCTTAACTTGTGTGCTCCAACTAGAGCTGCTCATGTCAGAAACCAGGCAGCCCAGTAGGGAGTTTGAGCAGCAGGTCCTGAGGAGTTGTTGATAGTCAGAGAGGAAAGGCATGGCAGAAATCATCTTTATCATCACCACCTGCTGCCCTGGAGAGGAGCCCAGAGGAGGATGCTTGTTTGGGACAGCAGTGCTGTCTTCCCAGATGGTCACTTGGAAAAGTTCACCCTTTCCTTACTTTCTGTCTCCCTATCTTTCTATCTTTTTTTTTTTTAATTTGTTTTGTTTTCTTCCAAACGTAGCTTTCATCAGTACAGTCAGTATATCCCATCAACTACAGAGCCTATTAATAAAATTCTGTGTATATAAACCTGCCTGAGTATCTCTTTTATGCAACACTGGATGTTCTACTTCCAGGTAAAAATAATGAATGAATTTTTTTGTTGAATACATCTATAGCATCAAGTGATTAAGCTGTTATTAAAATACCAATTTATAGTTCTCTGATTCTGTTTTTTTCCACATTGCACTTTTATGAGCAATGTCCACTACTTCTGCAAAGGAACAGCTGTGTCTGCTGGGATGCATTTGTCAGTGTGATTCCATATGCATTAAGGGATTTGCATAATAGAGATAATTTGATCTTCAATAGATTATAAGGCATGGAGGGTCACATGGTAACTTTTTACAGCAGAAGCTAGTTAGGTTAGAAGGTATATGGAAGTAGTTCTTATAAGTTGACCACAATATGAGCTTATTTTGACATTTGAGTGTCAAATCTTTCACTTCTCTCTTTCCAGTATCTCCAACTTAAAAATCAAGCTCCCCATGCTAGCTTTCAGTTTTTCATTTGAAAAGATGCATTTTTGGCTTGTCTGTGTCTGTGAATTGCAGTGTGTGAAAACCTTTTTGATGGTCTGATTTGCATTAAAAACGCATGTTAAAAAAAAAAAAAAACAGCCTCAGAACTCGAAGAGTTGGAAGACTTTGTTTTAATTATGATGTCTTTAATTTTAGCAGGATGCAGATTTTGAGGAGCCTTTTTTTGCGATGGACAGGATGATGTCAAATATGAGAAACAGCATGATGGAAATGCAAAGACAATTTGTAAGTTTTTCAAAATTTGCACTAAAACTAATTGTATTGGAGAATGACAGTTGTTTAAAATATTACTCTGAAAGTCTTGCCAAGAAAAAGGTTACTAGTCCCAAGCAGATGCTAAGAATTCCCCACCCCTGACTGTGGTTATAATTATATATTGTATATCATATATATATCATGGTTATAATTCTCTGTGCTGTCACTGATTATTTGCTAACAACAGTACTTTAAATACATGCTTGATTTTTTTTCTAGGGGTTAGAACTGCTCTAAGTTATCTGGTCTCTGGCTGTTGCCAGAGCTGACACCTCAAGTGAAGGAGCAGTTTAAAGGATTACTGAACACTTAAAAACAACAAAACTGCAAACACCTAAATGCCACCCTGCATATAGACTAGTCTCTGGTTTTATTTTCAGTGTTGCATCTTTCTTCTTCACAGTTGTTGAAGATAACACTGATATCTCCTAAGTTTTGCTGAGTTTATTTACTGTGTTTACTGGCCTTGTAATGGCTCATAACCATTGTTGCTCAAGTCCTGTTTCACGTGAACTCTTTACACACCATATGATGTGCTGTTATGTGGCAAGACTGATGTTACAGGTTGTATCTTGATTATTAAACTCAACTACGCCCCAGCAAATGTTTGAGCAGTTGCTTATTGCTGCCCATGCATTTTATTTGTTGTTTGTCCTGTTTCCTGGCATGGGGAAGCCTGTGGCTCCAGGGCTGGGACAAGAGTGAGGGCATATCAAATGCCAGGGTCTCTACCCAACAGCACACACATCTGCTGCCAGGACTGAGGGTTAATTTTTCAGAGGGGTATTCTTTTGTCATAATGATAACATAGTTTCAGAATGTAAGAAATACCTATTATCCACATGTCTTACCTTTTATTAATAAGTAAATCTACGTTGCTTGTAGGATGACCTGTCTATCCATCCAGATGCACACACATTCAGCTCCTCCTCTGTCATGACTTACTCCAAAACAGGCAACGAACCACCAAAAGTTTTCCAAGCTTCAGCTCAGACACGCACAGCTCCAGGAGGTGTAAGTAGTAGCAAAAAGGTGGTATGTAATTATTGGAATCCAAATTAACCTGTACCAGACCAGTTTCCTTCAGGTTCTTTTTACTGGAGACAGTTACTCTTATAATTTAGAAAAATATATGTCTGTTTAAATATTGCTCTGTATTAAAGGCTTGTTAAGCTAAAGAGCTGTTTTCTCCCTTGTAGTTTGTATGCTTCTGAGTACACATCTAAATAAATTGCATGCCTATCAAAGACTGGAAAAATCAAATGCCAGAACAGCTGATTCTTCAAGACAGTCTCCAGTGTCTTTCTCTTTGCTATAATTAATCCTCTTTTTGTACATTTAAAATTCAGTCTAAAATACAAGACAGCAAGAGGCAGTTGATTTATGCAAAAACCAGTTTCAAATCATCCCCTTTGCTCAAGCACTTTTAAATGCTTACGTAACGCTTCGGCTGAAGATGCCCTTTCATTGACTTCCTTGCAGCTGTTGCATCTAATTCTGCTAAGAAATTTGAATTTGAATTTGAACCCTGAAGCGAGGTTCATGAAAGACTATATGTGAGCAGTAAAGGCCGTTGAGCACGATTGGCTGTGGGGGCATGTTCAAGCTCAAGCAGACACTCACTTATCAAAAAGGTTCTAATAATATACCTATGAACACAGTGATAAGTGGTTGCCTGGGTTTCAAGCCAGTCAACATGACAACCTAGTAATTAGTTGTCCCTTCATGCTGAGAATATTGGCATTGGTTCTCTTGTCAAGGAGAACGTTGAAGACTTGTCTGCCTGCAGTATATTTAGACTAGGCTGGGGTTTTTTTTCACCAACAATTAATATCCAGTATGTACATTACTTAAGGAGCTTTAGGTGTTCTTGTTTAATCTTCCTGTCTGTTGGCAGAAGGAAAATAGACTTGATCTGTGTTTTGTGGGTGTATTTTTAGTCAACACAGTAAATGAGACAACTGGAAAAGCCTGTAAAACTTAAATTTTTCAAAAGAAAGATATAAAGCCTTTGGAGAAGAAAACTATTTTTTAAAAAAACTTTTTAAACTTTTTTTGGTTGCAAGGACACTTACTTCCCTTTGTTGTACAGGTTAAGGAGACAAGAAAAGCACTTAAGGATTCTGAAAGTGGACTGGAAAAAATGGCTATTGGTCATCATATTCGTGATCGTGCCCATGTCATTAAAAAATCAAAGAACAGCAAGACTGGTGATGAAGAAGTGAACCAAGATTTCATCAACCTGGATGAAAGTATGTTTCCTTACACAGTTCTCTAGTGGGCTCTATGCTGTTGTTTCACATACCAATTTTCACATACCATGAAACATCTTCAAAGGGACTGTCTGAAAGTCTGCAAATCCAGTTTCCTTAGTTGATAGAAATTTGGACAAGGTTAAAGTAACCAGTTAGACCTGAAAATGTTGTGTTTATAATACAGTTGGTACTGTTTGCTTGTACAATAGCTGCTCATATTTGAAAGTACTTTTAATGATACTTGATGCTTTCAAATGGATTTTTAACAGAATTTTACTGTTTGCTGTGTGTTTGTGGCTAATATAAAATATATATCTAAGAGCTGTGTAGTTAAATTGTGCATATACTTTTACAACACTGACTTTCACATCAGTTGTGGGGGGTTTTTTTTAACTTTTATCTTCTAAACATAAGCCTACTGGCAGTAAGCTTTTATTTGTCTTACAAATCCCCAAAAATAGTTTGTAGGCCATGTGGAGAGTAATTTGTTTAAAAAAAACATTGTTCAAACCCCCTAATTTTCATTACATGTTGGTTTTTTTCCCTATCTCTTGCATTTATTAAAAGTAAACTGTAACTGTTTTTCAGCTGAGGCCCAGACCTTTGATGAAGAGTGGCAGAAAGAGGTTATGAAGTTCAGGCCATCTAGAGCTAGAAGCAATTTAGAAGCCCCAAAATACAGAAGCATTCATCACATACCTAGAGAAAATGGATTAAAAAGGTAAAAATTGTTTCCTGCCAGAATAAGGCAATACTAGCAGCAGAATGAAATTTTGGAGCAATCTGTTCCCGAGCAAACAATACTTACTGGCAATCTGAGGAGAAATAGCATGTTGTGTTCCTCCTTTCCTCATGATGCCACGATGAACAGTGCAAGGCAGTATTTTGATAATTAGATGTTGAAGAAATTAAGTATTTTTGATTTTGAAAATGTATTAATGAATTGATAGGCTCTAATAAAAAAAAAAAAAAGTATTTTTTTCTAGAGAAATATGCCAGTGCTCTTCGCTTTGCTGTGTATAAATGTTGTAGCTGCCCCCACAGTCATGAAACTGGGTTATTGCTTTCAGGTATAATCCTGATTGAGGGCTGGGTTGATCTGTTCTCTTGGGTAAAAGGAAAGACACCTTCATATAGTTGGAGACAGACACACTCCTCTCTTCAGGGTTAGATTTCAAATGACACCTCATCCTCAAATCAGGAAGTCTGGGTAGGAATGAAGAGTTTATCTGTAAAAGTAGCAGCTCCCCTGCAGAGACTGCTGCCCACCATGGTTCTTCCCTCTCCTATTGACACAGTGTCAGTGGAAGTTGTGATGCCTTTATCAGTGGGGTGTTTGGTGGAGAATGCTACAGAAGGGCAATACTCCTCTTCTGCAGACTACACAGAGGGCTTTCCCTCTGGCACCCCTTCCATTCTAAAGGTTTATTCCAGAGGCTACTTTCCCTTCCATTTCAGTTTTCAAACTAAGCTGTTTCTTCCCATCATGTGTGCACAATGAGGCAACAGTCCAACTCCGTGCTGGTAACAATGGAAGTAGTTTTGGAGGGAGAGTCAAATCCGTTTTACAACTAAAATAACACAAGGAATTAACAAAATGTGTATTTCCCGACCCCCTTATCATCTGGTGGTTGTGATTGTTGTTGTTTGTTTCAGAGAGAAACCACTTCCACTTGCGGGTCCCAAAGATTCTTTGGAGCTTCTCAGTGTGAAAGGAAAACGTGTCCCCACCAAAAACAACAACAAATAAATTGCCTCCATTCTCCATGTGAATGGAGTTCCTTCAGAGAAGATAATGGTGCTGCATTGCTTATGTTCATATAAGTATACACGTACACATGACCAATCTCTGTTTTTTGTTCTAGTATTAGTGTGCCTTGCTACTCTGATCTTTTGACATTGAATGTTCTTTAAAACTTCAGATCCTTGGTTAAACCATCTAGTTTCAGTAAATTAAAAAAAAAAAACCAACAACTTTACACTTAAAAGCACTTTAATGGATTTACACTCATTCTGTTTTGTTTTTTTTTTAAA